GTAAAAGGTGATAAAAATTTATGCTTAATGAAACAAACACAAATTAAGCTAAGCAAAACCGTGTAAAAACAAATTGAAATGATAAACGAAACTTAATTTTCATGTGAATTTTCAACGCTGACTCTCCATTCTGAAATTTCAATTTGTTTCGGCAAAGACCAATTTAGCTTTTATAAGGATTGCATCCATCAATACAGTCTTTAGTCACTTGATGAGGCCACAGATTATTAAAATGCACTTGCCAGCATCGGCGTCGGAAGGGTTGTGCCTTCAGGTTGGGATGCTCTAATTGGCAATATTTTCAGAATCCCCCCCCCCTTTTTTTTTCTCGAGCACCTCATCATCACTTTTGCTTCTTAAAAACTTCCGGCTTCATGCTTTCGTCACAATCTGCCAAAATTTATGGATACACCCTTTTTCAAAGATTGGGGAATAGCCAATCAGACAACCGATACTTTCGTTCGGGTAGCTGTTTTTTTTTTTTTTTTTTAATCATGAGAAATCGCAATTCACACTGAGAATGGCAATCATTAGATGATAAGATGTCAATGAGCAATTAAGGACCGTTTATTCTTTTGGCCAAAATTAAGGACTTTTAAGGACCAAAAATCATTTTTGAAAAATTAAGACTTTTAAACTTTTAAGGACCGTACGAACCCTGTTAACAAAATATTAGTATACACAAGCTTATGCTGACGATTTTTTTTTATTGCCAATGGGAGGATTGGATTTGGATTGGATTCTAATTATGGCAAAGCACATAGGCATCTGCCGAAAGGAAGGGATGCCTTCATGGAGGTTTTCCTGGAAACTGGCTCGTATACACGTTACACCGGGAAAAACCACGAAAATCCCATCAGCCAGCCCGTCGTGGGATTCAAACTCAGACCGAAGTACAGTGTTCAGCGTCTTACCGCTTGTCGCTGGTGGCCTATTGGCCATGGGGAAGTGGTCGCCATACTATTGATAAAGCTTTAAGTTTCGCCACTCAAGAATTAAAGAAGTGGTCTTTCCATGTTAAACTCAAATTTGATTCAAAGAAGAGCTTTCTTTTGGATATTGCCAAAACTAATACTAGATTAATACATCCTAGGTGAAAAAAATATGGACAACCAGAGAATCAAATATTTGGGCATTATGATCGATGAAAAGCTCACTTTTATAGCTTACCTAGATCAAATGCTCCCACATTCTTAATACATTTAGTAAAATGAATCTCCAAGGTAAATTTCTTAAGAGTTTACAGACTATTGACAGAAAGATCTTGTATGCATGTTGCACACGGTGAACTGGAACGGTCCGAATGCATAACAAAATTTTGCAAATTCAAAGAACCGCTTTATTGGGGATTACTAAGTGTTTTAGAACTGTTTCCACAGTAGCTCTTCAGATTTTGGCTGGATGTCCTCCGATCGATACTTTAGTAGAACAAGAATATGCTATCTTTAAATTAAAAGCCGGTAATAAAACTGTCCATTTTTTTAGTGAGATCTTCTCAGCTAGAGATTTGGGCTTTGACAAAGGTTTAAACATTCACCCAGCTTTGTTGAAACGGTTGAATTGGCATAAAGGCCTCTCAAATATGACACGACTTTTACAGATGGATCTAAATTAAATGGTCATGTGGGGGCAGCCTTTTATGTATTCTCAGATGAGAAACTAAGCTTACAAAGGAAATATAGACTTTCTGACAATGCTTTTGTCTATCAGGCAGAGTTAGTGGCCCTGCAAGAGGCCTTATATTGGCTTATTTCTAATCTGATAGATCCTGTAGAATCTATAGTGACTGGCAAAGGCAATTGTTTCAATTATGGATGTTTGTCCAAGTAACGACCTAATTACCACAATAAAAGACATGCTCATTTTCTTAGCATTTCAGAGTATTAAACTCTTCTGGACGAAGATTCATTGGTACTATTGGTAACGAGTTAGCAGATAGATTGGCAAAGGCTTGCCACTGAAAATCAATTATGATTTGAAGTAAAGACTTCCTTTGACAGTTGAATCCTTGTTGAAAAAAAAAAGTTTTGACTCAGAGCAAAGTGGGACGACCAGATTCTAAAGAAAGATTTACATAATTTATCTCTACTGTAAGGAGAGAAGATGCCTAAGTGACAAGCATCTAAACCAAGCTTTAACTAATCATGGACACTTTCCCTTTTATTATAATAGGTTTTCAATAAAAAATTGTGCCCGTCCATGTAGCATGAGTAATGTCGATATTGAGCACCTGTTGTTTACATGCTCTTCTATGAAAAATATTGTTCTAAGATTTATTCCAGACATTGCTAAATTTAATACTCTAAAGAATCTAAGTAAAAATACAGTGACTAAATTGAAATTGTCACATTTCATAAAATATGTACCTGTAAACGAAATGAATTTATATATTGATTGTGTTTAAAATTTCCCTGTCTGTTTTAAGGAAAACTAGGATGTTTATGATATTCTGTTATTTTATTTCTTTGTATATGTAAGTAACATATTTTTACGCATGTAAGTAATATGTGTTATTCTTTACAAAGTATGTAATGATGTGCTTTTGTTGGTGTAGATGGTAATGGGCCTGATTTAGGCCTCATTTTAGATCTCATTGTTTCTTTAATTAATAGCTCCACTAAGCCCTATTAAGCCTCTAATGGCGGTACAGGAAGTTTGACCAGTCATACATATGTATACACATACATATATACATACATAAACATATATATATATACATACATACACAGATGTCAAAAAAACTTCTCCAATTTATGAAACCCCAGCAGCCTATCCGTTAAACCAACTGAAATAAAATTTCATATATTGATAATTGAAGATATGCGCTCAAGAATGGAATGATTTAAAATAGAGCTTTCATAGTTATGGACGGTTATAGTGGAAAAATTTCTGGAAATTTTTAATGGCAACACTCTTCCCCCCCTTGTCAAACTGATGAAACTATAAACATTGAAAAACTATAAATGGCACTCGAAAGATATATATATGATGAAAATTGTTCTTTGCAAAAATAAAACATTTGCAAAGAACAGCATTGCAAACGACCAATGACAACACAAGAGAGAAAAAAAAAAAAAAAAAAAAAACTTTCATTGAAATTACAAGATTTTAACCTGCCTACCTTTGCAGATGATAATGCACTGTATGTGGGAGATTATTGATAGCAGTGATGAATGTAATATCACAGGAGGAATCTGCATAACTTCACATTTTATGGAATTTTTTTATTATGACAAATGTCATGGATTTGATGTGTACATGTTAGATTTTAGATATCCTCAGAACCAATCCACTGGAGTGGGGTTGGGGGTCATGGTGACAGTGAAAGTACAAAGTTAGGGAAGATGAGTCTGCCTTCAAATGGTGTTGCAGCACTTGCTGAACACATGCGGCAACATATGGAGGAGCACCCTTTCGCATCCACATAAAGTCATTAACGACATTTCGCTGCTGAAACTGAGCACATGTGACTGAGCATATTTTCATACCTGTGGAAGTGACTTGCTTGAAGAAACATAGACCGAGAATGAATGCACTTGTGATGCCACATCACACAGTCATTTTATAGCTTTGGATAAAGACACTGGTGCACATCATGAGGATTTAGGAAACTTAATAAGAAAATTGATCGGATCACCACAGAGATGAGAAAAGATACTAAAAAAGTATGAAGATGGTATATGTATCCCAGACTTGTTAGAGAAATATTTCCAGGTTCATCATTACTTTTATTTTATGATACCGGCAATAAGAAAAAATGTTGCACTTTTAAATCAAAGGTATAAAAAAACTAAACTCAGTGGCATAACAGCCCTACTGGGCCAAACCTGCTTTCTTGATCGTGGGCCCCCAAGGTACGTAAGCATATGCCCTGCACAAGTGGTCAGCTTAATCATAGGACCCCCAGTGTTTAGTCCCCAAGCAAACTTGGTACTCATTTTATTGACCTAAGTGATGGAAATCAAGGGATGAAAGGCTGAGTCGACCTTGCCCAGCCCGGGAATCGAACCCCAGACCTGTGGTGCTGCTGCGCGATGTGCAGCTACTGCGCCACTGGGTCTCTAAATCAAAGGTATATCTTACCAAAAATTGCAAATTAATAATAATTTAATAAACACTATTTCTAACAGTAAACTAACACATAGAATTTTTTGAAAGTCATCTATTTACTTAAAAATTTTTATACCCAGCAGCAAAACCCTGGTATACAAATGATAAAAATTAATTTTGAATAAAAAGTTTAGTGTGTAATAGATGATAAAAATGACTGACAGTTGGAATTAATCAAAAAATGAGAAGATCAACAACAAACTATAAAAAAGTTTGAGGATTAAATTACTCTTCTGTTATTGGGACCGGATTCAGGAATGTACGTGTGCAAAAATATGCGAGTCTATATACACACACATATGTGCAAATACATTCATATATTTCTGAATGTGGTCCCAACAATAGAAGAGTATCAATTTTTAATCATGCAAAGACTACAAAAAACAAAATTAAAGTAAAAATTTTCCAACATGTTCTGAGAAATTTAGTTAGAATCTCTTTCCATTTTACTGACAAAAATTTCAAATAAATGAATAAGACATACAAACCTCAATTTTTCACTTCTATTCATAAAACAGAAATGAAAAGCATAGACTACAAATGCAAAATGTGAGAATAATTATATAAAAAATTATATTGTGTTACAAAAATTAAAACTGAGAGTTTGCAATATCCAGAAAGAAGGTCAGTTCATAATATCATTCTGAATTTAAAAAAATAATAAAAACTGGTTACTTTGGTTAAAAATTAGCTAAAATATATTACTATGGTAAAATAATATATTAACATATTAATATATATGCTGTTTATTACACTCTGCACTGTATAATCTGAAATACACATATTATGCATATGAATACTGCACAATAGCTGTACACAACTCTAATGTTCAATTTTTTTTTACTAATAATTTAAATATTATGCCTTAATAATTAAATATTTGAACTTACATATGTTTTTCCTTTCTGTGAATCGGCTAGAGCTTTATGGTTGAAAATGGACTGCTGATTTGGAAGTACTCCTAACTGTCCAATAACTACAGTCTGATTGGCATTTGCTGGTGCAAATCCAGATTGACTGTGGATAATTGTTGATTTCCCTGGAGTTGTCATCATCTGCTGAGGAAAATTTGATTTAGGAGTAGTTCCTACAACTTGACCGGATGCAGTCATCATTGTACCAGCATTTACAGCCATGCCCTTCAATAAGACATTCATGAACAGGACAATATTAAAACGATGTTGTCAATTTTATTTTCCAAGAGAGGAATGCAAGGTATTTACGTAACTTGATGATATGACAATTTATTTCACACTTCAAAAGCATTTACTGCACAACAAAATGAACTGAATTTAACTTCCCCTCACCACCAGGAAAAAGGAAAATAAATTTAAATATTATTTTGCATGTTAAGGAAATTAAATGTGAAAAAATTACGATGAAGGAGAAAAATTAATTTATTAATATCAAAATGCATGCTTCCTGAAGTAAATATTAAACAAATGAGAAAAAGTAAAATGAAAAAATCCACTTATATATATATTTAAAACATACAGAGGGCGTTTACACATTTTTAGAAAAATTTTGATAAAAATTTAAAAAGGCACATGCTTTGGAATAAAAATTTCTGGGAATAATGTATTATTTGAAATGAGAAATATTATCTGCTACTTTTAAATTTACTCTTCTTTCAAAACATTGCACATAAATAAGCTGTACGTTGAAGGGTATGTTTTTGCAATTTATGATGAGAAACATCTATTTCATAATTCAAAAATGTTGTGTAATGCGTGGTATTAGCAACATTAATTGGAAAGGGAAATTTTCTTTTTGCCAAGAACACACAGTTGTCTTGCACAGAATAATTTCTAGAACCCTGTATGAAAATTATTTAGCAAGAGATAAATGGAAATACATTGCGATCTATCATCAAGCATGGGTTTACCTAAATGACAACAACAACAACAAAAAAAAAAGTCTATTTATTAGAATAGAGGAGAAACACAGCAATGTGACAATCAAAATTGCAATAACAACCTTGTATTTAGCGTAAGTATGTTAAAATTTCGAGGGCAGCTAAAGGTCCCTCCTCATCAGGAGAACGAAATTCCTAGAAAGGGGAAAAAAAAGAAAAATAAAGCATTGCAAAGGAGTCTCAGAAACCTTATCAGCACTTATCTGGTCCTTATCAGCACTGCACGTGGTCGTAACCGGACATTGAATCAGAGTTACACTGGCCGCCTACTTTTACCGAGCCAAGCTATTGATCAAACATACGACACAAAGACTAAAATGCAAGAAAATCACCGAAGTAAAAAAATAGAGAGCGAGGGGCAACTGCACCTTCAAGCACCAAGTCTGAACTTCGAATAAAGGGAAAGCAACCTCTGTAACGGCTTTTTATATCCTGCGGTAGTATCAAATGCGAGGAGGCAACGCAATCTATTGGCAAAAATAACAGCCAAGAATTATCTTAATAGAATTTTAAAGGCATTAGGAAGGACTGGATTGAACTTAAAATCATTCACTAAACATGCTAAATCTTTGTGAATGTGAAAAGCCTCATCACCAACGGAAGCCTTTTGGATAATTTTTGCAGATCCAAAGTCAAAATTATAATTAAATTTCCAAATATGATACGCAATTGAAGACTTGTTAATTTCACCTTTTCGGACATAAGCTTCATGTTCCTTGATATGAAACTTCAACGCTCTTTTTGTTTGGCTAATATATCTTAAGCCACACTAACATAATATACTATAAATTCCTTAAGAATTAAATGCTATTAAAGCAAGCTTCTTGCTTTAAGATATATTGTCCAAACAAAAACAGCGTTGAAGTTTCATATCAAGGAACATGAATGTTATGTCCGAAAAGGCGAAATTAACAAGTCTTCAATTGTGTATCAGAATCGGAAATAAAATCATAATTTTGACTTATTTGCATGACTTGGATCTGCAAAAATTATCCAAAAGGCTTCTTCCATTGGTGAATTGGATTCTCTTGAGGCTTTTCACATTCATAAAGATTTAGCATGTTTAGTGAATGATTTTAAGTCCAATCCAGTCCTTCCTAACGCCTTTAAAATTCTATTAACATAATTCTTGGTTATTATTTTTGCCGATAGATGGTGTTGCCTCCTCGCGTTGGTACTACCGGAGAGTATAAAAAAACCGTTACAGAGGTTGCTTTCCCTTTATTTGAAGTTCAGACTTGGAGCATGAAGGTGCAGTTGCCCCTCGCTCCCTATTTTTTGACTTCGCCGATTTTCTTGAGTTTTAGTCTTTGTGTCATGTTTGATCAGATAACCTGGCTCAGTAAAAGTAGGCGGCCAGTGTAACTCTGATTCAATATCCGGTTACAACCATGTGCAGTGCTGATAAGGACCACGTGTTTCTGAGACTCCTTTGCCAATGCTTTATTTTTCTTCTTTCTCCCCTTTCTAGGAATTTCGTTCTCCTCAAGAGGAGGGACCCTTTAGCTGCTCTTGAAATCGATTGAGTGTTTTAATATACTTACGCTAAAAACAAGGTTGTTATTGTGATTTTGATCGCCTATTTATTATTGAGAACGAAGAACACAAAATGCACAAACCTAGTTTCATTGATGCAAAGCAAGTTTCAGAAAGCAGTTTACGATTGTCATACAGTTTTCTTACAATGGGAAATACAAACTAAGAATGGGAAAAAATGCTTAAATTAACTCGATGTAAAATCAAGAGAGAGTTTTATGCCAGATATTTACAGAAAAAATACCATTTCTTTATCCCATTGACTTTCAGTGACATCATCAGGTCAAATAAACTTTGAAAAGCATTACTGCATTCCTTGGAAAAAATTAAGATAAGTATTGCACAATTTTTAAATGGTTTCCTGCAAGTCCCCTGACCTTTCACCTATGGATTATAGTGCATTCACATCTTCAAAAGAGTTCTTTTTAAGAACAAATCCACTATGATTGATGTTCTCTGGAAAATAATGAGGAAGGAAAGGAAATCAGTACCCCTGGAAATCTTATGAAAAGCCCTTTTATCATGGAAATCATGATGTAGATTCATAGTTGAGAAAAAAGGCTATCTATTAGATTTGAACTTTTAAAAAAATATTCTTTACATTTCAAACAATAATTAGTATGGCTCCAAAATTGCTCTAAAAATGTGAAAATAGCTTATCTACTGAAGCACTTAAGGAAATGTGATGCTTGGAATTTAGTATGATGTACATTCTAGTGATACATTAATATGTCATCATTTTTAATTCTACTGTAACAGAAGGAAATGAGGAAGGAAACCACTAATTACTAATGAGTAACATCCAAGCCAGAATTTTATGCAGTAAGATACAATACTACAAAAATAGTTTTACAAAACTGTCATTAAGATAATGGCTGTAAAACAGTTTAAGAAAATCAGAATATTAATTTTACTGCCATAATTAAATTAAATAGAAAATATAACATTATCAAGGTTAACATCAAATATAGCAAAAACAAACTTATACTATAAAAATGCACTCTTAAATGCAATTCTCAGGTCACTAGCCATGACCTCAACCAGATCATAACCTAAACCATGGAATATAAAAAAGAAGGGAAACTGGTATTACCATTTTCCTCAAAAATGGTCCACTTATTGTCGCATTATTTATAAAGCACGCTGCAATCACTAGCTTTCCGTCTTTTCGTAGTATTTGCATAGTAATAGCAAAAATACTGGTTTGATATGAATTTTCATTATAAAAAAGTCAAATAATGGAAACTGTTTCGTCCCTGGACGCAACAGTGGTTATGGAACTGTTCGACTGAAGAATAAAAGCTTGGGAATCAAGAAATGAGATATATTTAGAGTTCCAAAGGTGAGCAACATTTATATTATGACTGATCATATATACGAATTTATATAACTTTTCAGAATGTCTTGATTGTTAGTAAATAAGAGAATATTTACTGTATGCTTATAAAAAAAGTAATAAATTGGAAATTAGTTAAATATTGCATGTAACTTATGTGCATTTGCATTTCATCCATGAAAGTATGCAATCATTAGATTTTAAAGCTAAATAAATTTCTGAAATTATACAAGAAAGATAGAGTATTTGCCCTTCTATTTCATTTACAGAAAAGAGGATAAACTCATTCCCTCCTTCTTTTCAGTTTGAAATACGTTTTTATAATAAATGGAAAAGAAGACAATGCTGCATGATTGAGCGAAAACATAACAGCGGATAAGTGTAATGAAAAATGGATTTTCTGTGAGATAAATTCAGCATATTAAATAAGTTATGAATATGAAATCATGCCACCTGATCATGAATGAATGGCTATTAAAAATTAAGATCTAAATCTTGTTACAGTGCAGAGTGAAAACCATTATGCCCAAGGATTTTAAATTTAAATTTGAATTTGTAGAACTGTTCAAGTGTTACAAACTGGCAGTGTTTGGTGACTTTTGCTGCTCAACTGCTGGTGGAAAGAACAAGGTGCTTGCAAATTGAACGAATCACTCTAGCCTTCTATAGCTCACCCTTGTGAGTAACAATATAAAACAATACTGTTAAGATTGTTTCAGGATTACTTATATAATTACTGTTACATTTTTATTAAAATTTTGTTATTTAATTGAACTTGTTTCTTTTAATGTGAGTCTTTAATCGTTGAAAAAGAGATATTAAATTGAGAATAAAAAAAGTAAATAATTACTGCAAGAGAAAACAGACTTTAGTTCTACATAAGTAATTATATTTTTTAAATACCGCAGCAAGCACAACATTAGATATTCTGATATTAAACTGGTAGTTTTGCAACAAATCTAATTAGACTCTATTAGTAAATAATCAGTTCAATAAATGAAAATAAAAAATAGGGGATCTTTTCCAGTAAAAGATAACACATGCACAACATTTTTTTTCAAAAAAGCTACATGTACCAATTTGAAACTTAACAGCGAGAAAATATCATCTCATTATAACTGCGATAAAATTTTTCTAAACATAAGAAATTCCATCTTTTTGGCTATTTGAATGGGACAGAATTTTCCTCCTGCACATGTACTTTTAAAATAAAAAAGATCTGCATTATATTTTTAGTTAAAATACTGCATTTATTGGTTAGAAGTTAAAGCAGCACAAAATTAAAGATAGATTGAATTAGTTTCAATATTTTTAACTCTTTATATTTAATTATGAATAATATACAGTTCAGCATAACCAAGTGTTCAGAATATTTAACTGAATTCAAATTCGAATTCTATTTTAAAATCTTGTGAAATCAATTTGAAAAATACTTCTCAAATAACAAAGATATGGAAATTTTTAACAGAAAACGATAAAAAAATCAAAATCAAAACTGACATCTGATTCATAAAAAAGAATAACTCATGATAGTAAAGAAAATTTACTGACTGAAGCAAAAAATTCCATAAGCTTCATTAAAATTTCGTCACAGTTTATATCAAGCTGTGTATCTGAGCATTTTACAAAATGAGAGACGCAAAGAGCCTATTCTAATTAAATTTAACATATATACAGTAAGTATTATTACCAGTAATATGATTATTTTTCTAAGGGGGAGGGATTGAAAAATTATCTTCAAATTAATCATTCATAAAAAGTACAAGCCCTACAGCATGAAAAAATTAATTTTATAATTTGAGGAATAAAATACAATCATTAGTGAGTAGAATATTACAACGTTGATAATAATGCAATTCATCACATTAAAAACAAACATTTTTCAACCCGCTAGTAAGCTTAGCCGCCTGGCTACTCAATAAATGTTTACATTTGGAACTGCTAAGATGGAACAGAAGCGACATCTGGTGAACACATTTTAGGACCCCCCCTTTTTTTTTACCAAGCAGTTTCACCTCCTTCATTATACTCTGTGACCTTAAACATATAAATATTTTCTTATAGGAACTAAAAATGCAACTTATTGCCTTTTGTGAAAAACTGTAAATATTCAATTACTTTATTTGATGTGTTTACAGCTTGAAGTGCCTGGCCTCCAACTGAAGTTTTAGCATCCAAAGTTGTTTTTGCCTGCAGCTGGAGACTTAAACCTTGAGTAGCACCTAAATTCTGTATTGGAGTGGTCATGCCAGCATGTTGCAAAGTTAGGTTACCTGGAAAAAGCATCTGTTGCTGTGGGTACAAATGTTGAAGATATGAAGCTGAAAGAGGTTGCTGAATAACTTGAACCTGAAAAAGAAACAATATTTACATTAGATGATAACTGGCACATAGCCATAAAAATACACTTAGAAACTTACAGCAATGTATTCCTTCATATGATAATATTTTTCTATCTTGATACAAATAATTTAAGACTATAAGCTCTAAAATGATGTACTTCTTTACCTCATTTGTTAGCAATAACTAAATCCATGGGGATTACCTATGTTCTGAGAAGTCTGATAAACAAGAAAAGCTTAATTTGGCCTATTTGCATTTGATTGTATTTACAATTTACTATTGTTACTGATTTTTCAATTTCCAGACTTTGTCTAATTAGCCGACATTTATTCTGATTTTCACTGAAAATAAATACCTTGTTGTTTCTGTAATTAACAGAATTCTGTTAATATAAAAATTTAAATTTTTACATGCAAAATATAAAAAAATTACATTATTTCACAATTATACATAAAATGTTATTACTTACATTATTTTATAATTATACATAAACTTTTATATCAATTATTTACAGAAAAATTTTACATTAATCATATGAATATAATTATTAGATATTCATGTTACTTATAAAGAGATATTTTTTTTCTTTTATCTACTTTAAATGCTGCTTTATTATAAATCTAGCTGTTCATGTTGCACGATATAAAATTCATAACAATATGTTGTGGAGAAATCATTATTATAACACAAATAATATTGAAGAAAATATCCCATATAAATACACTTGTACACTTTTCGCAAGATATATTCTGAGTACGTTATTACAGAAAAATTTTACATTAATCATATGAATATAATTATTAGATATTTATGTTACTTATAAAGAGATATTTTTTTTCTTTTATCTACTTTAAATGCTGCTTTATTATAAATCTAGCTGTTCATGTTGCACGATATAAAATTCATAACAATATGTTGTGGAGAAATCATTATTATAACACAAATAATATTGATGAAAATATCCCATATAAATACACTTGTACACTTTTCACAAGATATGTTCTGAGTACGTTATTACTTTGGAATTTTAACTAAGCTTGTGCTTTGAAAATAGCAAGGCCTATAATGATAACGGCTTAATTTGATCTGTTTATGCTGCACTAATAGGGATAGCAATTGAACAAACTGATTATCAGAATATGTCGGATTTTGTGCTGTGTATGAAGCAATTGATTTCTTTCTTTCTATTATGTAAACAAATGATAATATATATGTAATATATTACAAAATATGATGGCTGCTCTAAGAAGCAATTGGCGACCTCAAAATTAACTATTCTAAATTTGGTGTCCTCCCCCCCCCCAAATTCAAAATCTTTCCGTATTACATAACTTGAAAAATGGAACTAAAATCCAAAATTAACCAATCACAGATTAGCTATACTTTATGCACTTACCTAGTATAGATAGCTATTAACTAAGTCTCTCTCTCTTTCGCCTGCCTGCTGACAATGTCGCTTAGCCTCTGCTAGCTATTCGCCATTATGTAAAATGCAATTGCATATCTTAATTTATAAGGTGCGTTTAGCAAATTTAATCTTCTACCAGTTATAAAGTTATGTGCTAAGAAATTCATTATCTAAAAATAAATGATGTTTAACTATCAAACTGGTCATGCTTCTTCTAAAATTCCACCAGATGATTCCAATTATGATGGAATTTCCAATCATTTATGCAGCAGTAGTTTCAGCTATGACTAGAACGCGATTATTTTTATCTCTCGCCTAAAGTACAACATTACATATATGCATTACATTTTACAATTAATTGCATTCCTTTCCTTCTTTGTTAATTTTACTTTTTTAAAGTTTAAAATTATTATTTATTTTCCATATTTTGCATTTTTAATCACTGCTATTTTCTGTCTGCTACTGAGCTTCCTAATTATTATTACAACTTATCATAAACATTAAATTCTGAAAAATAACGGTACTGAAACCTTACAAATTATTATGTTTGCTGCAGATTCAATGGAGGTCTCCTAATGGATACAAATCCAGTCTATAGATGTTTGTAGCATTTTTTTTTTAATTACTTGTTGTTTTATGTAAATTTTAAAGGGCCATTATTTTGTAAAATGGCTGTGATTTTCCATGTGCTAGTTGGGCAAAAAAATTAGTCACTAACGATTGGCTGCTTTTTGAAAGGGTAGGTAAACCGTAATTATCAATAATATTTAAAATAATGATGGTAACAAAATTTTAAATGTCAAAGACATTTAAGTAAATTAAGAGAGAAAATTTAACGTCCTTGGGTATTAGTCGGGATCCACTAATACATCGGCAATAATCTATACTCTCTCTTGGCATCTGAATACATTTTTGATATGAGATTAATTCAAAACTTTTTCCTTTTTAGTTTCAAGGCAGAATATTGTTTGGCAATGACACAAACTGTTATTCTGTGTAACTTAACTTCTATGAGCTTAATTCTATCTTCATATCTGCTAAATTAGGTAACTAGTGGACCTACAAATCAATTCACAAATCCTTCATACACCTTCCATTCTTAAACAGTTTCGTTGCTTGAGATTTGGAACTAGAAAACTCAGAACTGTCAATTTGGGGGGGGGGGTGCAGGAGGAGAGAAGCAAAAATTATTGCTAAAAATATGCCTGAAAATAATGGATTGTTTCATTTCTCATTAAATGTAATATACACTTGACACAAAATGCAGCAGTAATTCACATTGTTCCAAGAAATTTCCACAGGGAAAAGATTAATAAGAAAGTTCATTTAAGATACCATCTGCTGTCACTGCTGCTGCACTATGGCCCCCTTTTTTTGCATTTTTCATAGTCAATAATTTTTAATTTTATTGTTAATATGCACAAAACATCCTATATGAAACCTCAAGTTTTTATATGATCAAATAGTCTTTTAACTAATATCAAAATAACTTGATGTACCTCAAAGCTTGAGATTTCTTATGCTTATTTCTTGAGATTATTTATTATTTAAATCATCTCATTTTAAGAATTTATTCACAATTTATTGCCTTTTATTTGTTTCTCCACACACACATTGGCATCCATAATGAAAGTTTCCCATTGAGAGTAATCAACAGCCATCATCATAGCTGTATATAGCTCTGAATGGGAAGCTTTCATTATTAATTTAAATTCAAATTGTTTAATGTGCTTATAGTTGTTAGCTTTTTCTTCTGATTCATGGACAATTAATTGAGTTATTTCATAAGGCAATAGACCCAACAGCTGAGAAACCCAATTTTATTCTTCTAACTCAATATGTTGTGCCTGTCTCTCAAATAAGACTAAATAAAAACTTACATCACCTTCATTCAAATCATACTTATAAGCATTAATTTACTCATATCACAAAAATTATTTTAACTAACATTAGAAGGAACAGAATCATTTCCATTACTACTTCTGATTTCCGCTTCTATTTTCAATTTTTCGAGTTCAAATGTTCTTTGCTTATCTTTTTCTAAAATTTCCATTTCAAGTGTTCCTTGCTTTTCTTTTTTGAAAATTTCCATCTTTTATATGAAAGCAGCAGAATATGAAAATATCTTTTCTAACACAATAATTATACTTAAGTTCTATCAGTTCAAATGCTCTTTGCTTTTCTAACTTCTCCCTGTCTAAACATTAATCTATAATTCTATCTAACATTTGTTTAGTAAATTCTTCATTATAGTTCTTAATATTCAAAATCATATAAGCCTACAGTTTTAATATCAGAAAGGACATCTACATCAAGTTCGAAGGCAAGTTCTTTTAAGTCACATTTCTTGCCCATTGCCAAATAAGCCATCTTAGACTTCAATTTTCAAATAATAACACAATAATTATACTTAAGTTCTATCAGTTTAATACTCAGACATAATAAACAGTTTATAAATGCACATACCTTTCTACTTTCAGTTTTGGTAACCTTCCAGGCTTAACATACATTAAGCCAACACCTTAAATCCTTGGTAATAATTTTTCTTAATCCCACTTCTGAATTATTAGCTTACTTACTTTCTTTAAGAAATATTCTTCACTTATGTTAATAAATCTTTATTCTCCCATTACTCACATATCAATGAGATGATACAACTAAAAATACAAAATTACTACACGCACTTCAAAAAACATTACCGTTCAAATCAGCATCCATCAAAATACTCCCTCGTTGCCACTCAGGCAAAATATATTTAAAATAAAATCAATGTGTTGCATTTACAATACTACTACTTCATGTGCTAAACCACATCAATGTACAATTTAATATATTACCTACACCATGTCAAAATAATGAATCAAATTGTTATTTCAAGAAATATGCATTTAAAGATTTTGTAACATGCTCTCACTTGGTTTTCAGAAAAATTAAGTTGAGACTTTATATAGTTTTTTTATATGAATCCGTGAGAATACGCAACCATCTTTTTTAGTATAATGTAAAACAAGGAAAACAAGGAGGTATCTAAATGCATGTAAAACAAAACTAAGGAGAAAAGAATTCCAAATTTGTGACATTTTAATTTTTCTTGCAAGATGTTGAAGCTGGTTTTAATATATTTTCTAATTAAAGGGGCCCCTCATACGATACATTGGTGACATTTTAAATTTGCACATTAGAGGTTGGGCGTATAAATTTGCCAATTTAGGCAAATAAGTATAGTGGCTACTTTAACAAGGAAGGACCTTCAAAATTAACTTTCATTTCCCACTTTAGGAAACAATATTTGTATTTAGCACCTAACTTACAATATTTACTTTGCATTGCATATGTACTACATTATGTTTCGTTTCCCTCATACCATATAAATTTACAGTTTACTTAATCCAGAATGCTGCAAGCATGCCTTGTTGTTATTAGCATATTTGCCAATTGGTCCAAGACAACCCTGGGGATATACAAGTGTCTTGAGAATACTGATAGCTAAAATCTAGACTTTCTGGCCACTATGGCAACACCTCAATGGCTTGACCACCACATTGGCGATGAAAAAACCTAAAAAATATTTATTTGTATGTAAAGTTCCCCCCCAAAATGTTTTAACTTAATAATAAAATTATAACACTAACTTGCTGAAGAGGAGACTGAGCCATAGTCATCGTGGGATGTATCATAGTCGGATGAGGCCCTGAGCTTTGAGACATCATATTTCCCGTTTGAACTGTTTGTGCCTGTGCTGTTAGCTGGGGAACCATTTGGACAGTAGTCCCAGAACTTGTATTAACATTTTGTTGCATGGTTTGCATCTGCTGAGCCTGGGATACATTAATAGTAGCAACATTTATAGGCACTGATGTTGTTACATTCATATGACTTGCTTGTTGATCACTTGTATTACCCATTGACATTGCCTGAGCTTGCTGTTGAGGCTGTTGTTGCATTTGTTGCTGTGGCTGCATTTGTTGCTGTTGAAGCTGAGATTGCTGCATCTGATTTTGTTGCTGTGGTGGTGGTGGCTGTTGTTGGATCAGCATTTGTGTATGATTTTCATCAGCCATTTTCAAAATGTGTTAGCATGCATCTAAAAAGATGAAGTTATAAAAATCAATTAGAATGTAGTTTAATTTGAAAAATAAATAATTTTTTAAACATGTTATGATATAAAGTAAATTTCAAAGTAATGCCTTCACAAAATATACAGTAGCAAAAAGTTACACACACACACACACACACACAAAAAAAAAAAAAAAAAAAAAAAAAAAGTCATGCAATTTCCTCTTCTCCCTCATAAACTTACCATACAATACTAATTGCTTTCTTTAAATTCATTTTCAATAAATGTCTAAAATCTCTCCAGAAATTTTAATATTAAGAGAAAAACGCACATTACTTTCCTTTCCAGATGGCCCTAAAATACAGATTTCTTAAATAAAAACTGTCTTCCATATCAATGCAGTAACACATATACCACAAAGAATTTTTTTTTTTTTTTTTTTTTTATTTCAATCGCTTCAGGTACCTCTTTTGGATGAGATACTTTTTCCTATTTTCTTAACTAATATCCTCAAAATTAATTGTTTTAAACTCAACTTTAAAAATTATTGTTGTTTGTAGAATCTGTCTGCAATGGAGATAATTACACTAAACCTAAAATCACGGTACTTGTCTTCTGTAGCAGCTCTGACGAGAAAGTGGATTTGGTATGTTTTAACACTGGCAAGAAACAAAAAATTAGCAATCTGCACATGTGCAAGAAACAGTTAATAATATAACTGATTTTTTATAATGTATCACTACAGCAGTACAGATTTTCCCACTAATAGAGAAAGAAGCTACAGTTGATTGTGAGACATTATTAGCAGCAACTGCTAAACAGTGGCACAAGTCTATAAAAATGAAATTTTCCATTACATCCATATCTCTTTCTTTTTTAAAAATTGCTAACAAAATTACATTAAGTAAAATAAATAGAATTTTTTGGTATGTTTAATAATAAATAGAATTTTGTGGCAATGTTTACAATGAATGTTATTTTAAACTGCTTTAAACAATACTTAATGCAAATACTAATTAAGTTCTAATTATGTTCTTATTTTTAATAAACTGCTGACAAAATTGTACTAAATTCTACAATGAATACAAATGTATATTAAATCTCTTTTTTTGCTTTTAAGGGTGTTTAGAACTTGCTTTTATGAATGTTTATGACATTTGGAAACAAACTACCCTTTCTTAGCTAGAATTGAACCAATGCCACTACAGAAGAAAAATACTAAATTACTTACAGAAAACAATTGCGAATCTACTCTAAAGCAATCACCAAGAAGTTTCTACCAGGTCTAAAGAAACTTGTAAGCAGGTATTATTAAGTGATTTTCAAGATAAACACCTAATTAAAAAGTAAATTATATATGCATGTAATAAAATTTGGAAGCACTTCCGCAGAGAACCCGGTAAATGTAAACATTGCCAACTTTGGCGATAATAGTTCAAACCTGGTAACCCGGCGGATTTATCCTATTCGCTTGTTCGAAGTTTGCAACCATTCCTCTTGCCTTCACTTTGTTGAATTATCACTGTCGTTGCTCGCATTTGCAGATTTATATTATTCTTCTCTTATTTATTATTATTTTTCCTGTATTTTTTTAACAACGAATAGATAGAAATATTTTCGTAGATAGATGCCGGTTCTCGGTTCGGATGAAACGAAGAAAATACGGCGGGAGGGGTGAATGCTAATTTGTAACATGGCTGTTCACGTTGTGTTTTTAATTATTAACAGCTGTAAGCATGCAGAACTATGAGGTTTTTAACCCCTAAAATAATTTGTTTTCGTAGGCCGCAAAAATATGCATGTGCATTTTAAATAATTAATTAATGCTTTTATTTTTATTATTGGTTATTGTCATCTAAAATTATGAGAATAAATCAATTTTTATGGTATAAAATTTTAACAAGATAATATATTGTTAATGCTTTTCTAACAATAACCTTTCAGAGGATGGCAGGTTTGACATAAATAGATGATTAAATTGAAATAAAAAATATGATTGATTACAGAATAGTTTGATGCATCATCATGGTCATCAAAATTAGCAAACCACTGCTGGTGTAAGGAATATATTGTTTTCCGTGTTAACTGGAATAAGAAAATTTGTTTTTGTTTATCACGTTTAACCGGGTAATTTCAGTACATTAATACTAATTTATATTTTTTATTTCCGTTGTAAATGTTTATATATTGTCTTATGCTTAATATATTCTTTTCTGTGCTAACTTGAATTTAATACAAATTTATTTCTGTATATCACGTTTAACCGGTTAGTTTTACATCTACATGCATATTATCTGTGAATTTTTACTACCATATGCTTAATATATTGTTTTGTCTGTTAACTTGAACTTACATGCACTAAAAATCACGTTTACAAAATAATATCACGCTTACGGCTCGGCTCACCGTCGATGAACCGCGAGCTTAGCGATTAAAAATGCACCGGCGCCAACGGGTTCTCTGCGGATGAAAACCCTAAAATTTTTTTCTTGCAATCATACATCATTCTTTTTCTTCCGTAAAACACAAACTGTACCAAGAATAGGCAGTACCACAATCTTTTCTATTGAGGTACGCACGAGTAACGCGTGCCTACAAATGTGTAGATAACCTTACCTAGAAAAATAGCAATCTTAATTGAGATAGGCATTTAACATTAAGAATGAGATTTAATACGGAGAAGTAATATAGATACATAATAAAGGCTTAAGAAGCGTACAGTCCCACACAGATCGCAGTTACATATCACGTGGAAGGCACAAGAGTTGTTTCACAGACGCGCAGACACAGATTGAAGTCGTTACCCAGAACTGCAGAGGAAAATTTTCCTCTTCCCAAGCGAGAAGGAGTGAGAGACAGGGTCACCAGTGAGGTACCCGTGAGTAACGCATGCCTACAAATGTGTAGATAACCTTTCCTAGAAAAATAGCAATCTTAATTGAGATAGGCATTTAACATTAAGAATGATATTTAATAAGGAGAAGTAATACATATAGATACATAATAACACACAGATCGCAGTTACATATCACGTGGAAGGCACAAGAGTTGTTTCACAGACGCGCAGACACAGATTGAAGTCGTTACCCAGAACTGTCGGGGAAAATTTTCCTCTTCCCGTCAGCCTGTAGGGTTGTCAAGCAGGTTTACTGTTTCGCCAATTGGCGCTTTTCTCCAGAGTTTTTGAGTCTGTATTGCCTGTTTGGCGCTGCCGCTACATACTTCCTCCGCAGTGTCAACGAAATGTGACATACCGACATGGGGATCGGATTAATCATCCAGAACAGGTGATACCAATGTCCGAATGTTTTTTTACACTCTTTGGAACAACTTGTGAAGAGTCCATGGTTACAAAAGCAGGTTTCAATCTATCTATGAAGATTGTTTGTTTAGTCCCTTTTATTTCGAGATCAAACGTTTTATCTCGTCTTTCTAGCACTTTAAATGGTCCATCATAGGGAGCTTGCAGTGGTTTTCGAACTCCGTCGTGTCGAACAAACACATGCGTGGATTCGTGAAGCCGTGGATGAACGAAACAGGTTCGCTGACCGTGGCTAGAAGTCGTAGTCGGGCGGACACTGGCAAAATGGGATTTTAAATCCTCCACAAACTGTTTGGGGGACACGTCCATAGGTGTCGAATTGAAAAATTCTCCTGGGAGACAAATCGTCTTTCCATACACAAGTTCAGAAAAGGCTGCTCCTATGTCCTCCTTGAGAGCGGAGCGGAAACCCATCAGAAGCGTTGGAAGAGCCGCCACCCGGTTACTGGCATCATAAACTTTTAAGGCAGCTTTCAAAGGACGGTGGAATTCCTCGATAAGTCCATTCGCCTGTGGATGGTACGACGACGTCCTGATTCTCTTGATTCCCAATAACTGGGAAAGAGCTCGAAATAAGCTGCTTTCAAACTGTCGCCTTTGGTCAGTAATAACAGCTGGACAACCAAATCGTGTAATCCAAATAACAGCTGGACAACCAAATCGTGTAATCCAGTGGTCATAGAAAGCTTGTGCTACTGTGCATGCAGTTACGTCTGGTAGGGGTACTGCTTCGGGCCATTTAGTAAACCTATCTATCATAGTTAAACAGTAATAATTATTTTGAGAACGAGGTCAAGGTGGACATGATCAAATCTCTGTGATTGGTGTGGAAACTTCATTAACGGGGTTCTAAGTATGTCTGCTTACTTTTACTTTCTGACATGGAATGCACTGTCGTGCCCATTGTGAGCAATCTTTACGGATGGAAGACCAAACAAATCGAGAACATATTAACTTTGTTGATGCACGAATGCTGGGGTGAGACAAATTGTGCAATGTGGCAAAAACTTTCTCACGGAATGCTGGGGGAATGTAAGGGCGGGCGGTACCTGTTGACAAATCACAATATATTGGTAAACTACAATTAGGTAAGGTAACTTTTTTGAGTTGAGCTTTTCTGGATCAATTTGTTGCATTTTAGCAATTTCCTCATAGTCAATAGGGTTAGGCATGCTTATTGCTTCTATGAGCAAAAGAGTGTCCGCGGCAATATTATCCGAACCTTTTATATGGTATATTTCAGTGGTGAATTGTGAGATAAAGTCTAACTGCCTAGCCTGACGAGGTGAACACTTATCCAAACGCTGTCGGAATGCATACGTAAACGGTTTGTGATCGGTGATTAAAAAAAGGTTCCATGCTTCCAACATATGCTTAAAATGCCTAATAGCAGCATAAGCTGCCAATAGCTCCCGATCGTACGCACTATAGTTCCTTTCTGCTTGCGAAAGCTTTCGTGAGAAAAATGCGAGAGGCTGAAGTTTCTATCACCTATTTGTGATAGCGTTCCGCCAATCGCGAAGTCTGACGCATCAACCAGTAAAACCAACTGGGCATCTTTCTTCGGGTGTGCTAAAAGAACCGCATTCGCGATTAACTGTTTACACTTTTGAAATTCATTACGCGCTTCCTCAGACAAATTCAGGGTTGTCTTATCATTTTTCTTAGCCCCTTTTAAATACGAAGTTAAATGTATTTGATTCTGGGCTACGTTGGGTAAAAATCGACAGTAAAAATTAAAAAATCCTAAAAATCTCTGCAAATCTTTTACCGTTTTAGGAAGTGGGTAGTTAAGAATCAGTTCAACTTTGTTCGTCAGAGATTTGGTACCATCTTTATTAATTAAATGTCCTAAGAAAGCTACTTTCGGGAACGCCAAAAACACATTTCGAAGCGTTTATTGTCAATCCATATGTAGTTAATCTTTCAAAAACAGTACGTAAGTGAGATTTATGATCATCTTCTGTATCACTAAATATTAAAATATCATCTAAGTAGACATAGGCAAATTTTAGATCTCCAAGAATTTCGTTCATAAAACTTTGAAAGGTTTGAGCTGCTCCGCACAGTCCGAAATTTAAAAACGGAAATTCAAAAAGACCAAATGGGGTGCAAACTGCAGTTTTTGGTATATGATCTGGATGAACTGGTATATTATGATATCAATTTTTGAAAAAATTTTCTTTCCGCTAAGTGTATTATTAAAATCTTGTAAATGCGGGATAGGATATCTATCGGGTTCGGTGCACGCGTTTAATTTTCGGTAGTCTCCTACTGGCCGTATATCGCCCGAACTTTTAGAAACTACATGAAGAGGTGATGACCATGCCGATTTTGATGGCCTACAAATACCTTGATCCATCATAAATTGAAATTCTTTTTTTTACTGCTTCGTATAACTTAGGGCTTAACCTACGCGGTTTACTATGCACGGGAGGACCGTTTGTTTCGATGTAATGAACCGTACTATGCTTTACTCTGCCCAAATCAGATTTTAACTTCAGTAAATCCGGAAAGTCTTTCAAGATTCTGTGATACGGTGAATCACCCGATATTAACTTTACCGAAAAATAATTTTCAGAATCGGAAAGAAAACCAATTCGAGTTAATTTCGTAGTATTATCGATAAGCCTACCTCGTTTTAAATCGATTAAAAGATCAAAATGTCTTAAAAAATCAGCTCCTATTATAGGCACTGGTACATCGGCGATTAAAAACTTCCGTCCAAGTCCTAAATTCACATTTAACAATTTTGTTCCATACGTAGAAATTCTGGAATTATTCGTGGCAAATAACTGTAATGAATCAGGATACATTTTCTTAAACTTAGAAGTCGCTGGCACACATGAGACATCCGAACCCGAATCAATCAAAAATTTTAAATTTAATCTGTTATCGTAAACATGTAAACGACATGAATGCGCGACTGCCGACGAGTTTCGGTCGACAGCCGCTACTTCTAGTTTTCTGGGGCTGTAGTATTCTGAGAAAAAGAACAAGGTGCTCGACATTTTCGTGCATTACTACCAAATCGCGAATGAAAATAACAATAATTGCTAACGCGCTCTCGAGAATGCCCACGTGAAAAACTACGTGGTCTGTTATGTGGATCCCGAGGGAATTTATTCCTCGTTTTTTCGCGGGAGAGTCGCTCGACCTGTTTACTTAGGGCAGAAATTTCACTCCTTAAGGCCTTAAGCTCTTCGAGGGGACCACAAGAATCGTTCGGATCGCTGGGGGAACTGGCCGAAGCTGCCTGGACAGCGAACACGCTATTGTTCATTGGCGTGCGCACTTCAGCTGTCTTGTCAGCAATTTTTGCTAAATTATCTAAGGATTCATAACTTGTTGATAAAATAGCAGGTAAAGTTCTAGCATACGGTGCAGCCTTGGCGCAATTTTGAAAATTATCGCCAACACCAAAAATGATCCAAAGAACGTCTATATACTATACACTATATACAATGTGTGTATATACATAGTATATACTATGTTTAACTACATATATTCTTTGAATGACCCGTTTACTACTCATCGTATATGTCCCATTTTTGCTGCTCATCATAAAGTCACCAAAAGTAGCCAAATCCCGTGTGCACCGGATACTAGGATTAAACCAAATAGCATGCACTTTGGAAGGTAACCTTTGCAGCCATAATGATTTTAAAAATTCGTCAGTTATACATTTTCCAACCAATTCTCTCATTTTTCTCAATAAGTGAGATAGATGGTTGGTCATCTCCTAAACGCGTTCAATTCAGAAATAAGTCTGCGTATTTGTTCGTTTTCCGAATCGAAAATTCCGCTATTAACCTAGCTTTTAGGGCATTATATTTTTCCGTCGCAGGGGGATTAAATAAAATACCTGATATTGCAGAAAGAGTTTCAGGGTCTATGGAAGAAATCACGTGATCATATTTTGTAATATCGTTACTTATCTTCGCTAGAGCAAAGTTACTTTCAACTTGAATAAACCAAAGTTTAACATTATTTTTCCATAAAGGGGGAATTTTAACCACCACATGTGAGATTTGTGGCTCCTGTGCCACCACATTCAATTCGTCGTTGGTTTGGCCTTCCGATCCTGGCATGGTTAACAATTATAAATATATCGTTAATCGTTAACTTAATTTTTTGCACTATGCTTTAGACTTACGTATCAGTTTAGAATAAAATAATGAAGTCATTCAATATCTCAATAAAATTGCAAGCACCAATATTACACAAAGATAAATTTTAAACAATGAATAATTAAGTTTAAATTAAAACTATAATTTTAGAGCAAAATATATCACAAAAGCACATTATGACCAATCGCAGATAAGGGGAAAAAAATTGACCACATACCTGTAAATTCTCCTTAACAGTGTGATAAACCACGCATAATCCATACCATAAAATGAGAAAGAAACTAAGGAAAATAAAGAGGATGGAGCAGTTATCACTCAGAAAAAAGAGCATTCTCATCAAAATAAGGCATATTTTTAGCTTTATAAGAAAGATTGAGACAGATAGCCATTAGGAATCTGAAATAAAAGGAGCGAGAGACAGGGTCACCAGTGAGGTACCCGCGATATAAGACAGAGCATGCCTACAAACGTCTACTCAGCAGATAACCTTACCTAGAAAAATAGCAATCTTAATTGAGATAGACATTTAACATTAAGAATGAGATTTAATAAGGAGAAGTAATATAGATACATAATAATGGCTTAAGGAAGCGTACAGTCCCACACAGATCGCAGTTACATATCACGTGGAAGGCACAAGAGTTGTTTCACAGACGCGCACACACACACTGAAGTCGTTACCCAGAACCAGAACTGCCAGGGAAAATCCTTCTCTTCCCGTCAGCCCGTAGGGCTGTCAAGCAGGTTTCACTGTTTCGCCAATTGGCGCTTTTCACCAGAGTTTTTGAGTCTGTATCGCCTGTTTGGCGCTGCCGCTACACTGTTTTTGGTAACCCAGAAGATTTTTATAACACACTCTTCAGTTTGGTTTCTGTAGCAGTATTTCTTTACAAACGATCACAGAATCTAAGACTGTCAGCTCGTTTGCTCTTTTTATAATGTCTTTGCAGCATTCATAACACTGCAGTTACAAGAAAATTCAACATTTAAAGGCATTAAAAATTCAAATTCAGGTGGAAAATGTTTGAAATTTTTTGAATAGAAAAGTTGCAAAATTTATCAGAAAACAACGACTGCATAAAACTTTAAAAAAGGAGAAGAAATAGAACATTCTAAAGCTTTAAAATAAACTTTTATAAAATAAGTTGTTTTAGAAATAAAATTACGAATTTTTATTGCTTTAAAATATTTATTTATTTATTTATTTTTGAATAACACAACTAAAGTAAAAAAAAGCCCTCCCCCTCAAAAATCACTTTGATGCCCTCCCCTTTTTTTAGAGACAATGATAAGAACAGGAGGTTCAGGATAAATTAGTCAGTTCAAGATGGCAAAATGAAGGGTAAATGAATTATGCTGCAACTATTTATAACCATTGTTTTTGGGTATTTACTGGTGTAAATGAAAAAAATAACCATTTAAAATTATTGTTTGGTAAAATTATTTCTGCTCCAATGGAAAAAAAATACTATATGACCTTATTTTGCTAGAATACGATTTTTTGTTTCCAAGAGAAACATGCTAATATAAAATTTAAAAGGTAAAGTAAAATCTCTCTTAACCAGCAACCAATTAACTAGCAATTAAAGAAAACACTTTTAAAGATCAAAATTGTAATCTAAAATATAG